TCTCTCCCTCTCTCCCCCTCCCTCCCTCCCTTCCGGAAGTGAGGCACACGACCGCCGGGGGGATGTGTGCCGCTGATGAGACAAAAAACAAGACCGAGCTGCGGCCCTCTTTAAAAGTAAGGGAAGGCGATAGAGAGAGACAAGGTGACTGTACTACTTTGGGGAGACAGAGAGCGATGGGAACGCCGCGTGCGGCTCGCTGGTTGCGCAAGTTGGAAACGAGGAGAGAGACATTGACAGTGAGCAGCTAGCCAAAGTGCCGCTCTTCGTTAAGACCCCACGAAGAGTTACCCCAGCGGGCCGGCTCGACCCCTCCACGCCCGGCCCCTCCACCACGCCGCGCAAGGCCGCGCCACGCCTAGTCGCACACAATCTCACAGATCCTCTCCGGGTCGTCATTTGCTATGGAAACAGAGTTGGAGGCGCCACTGCGCGGCGCGCTCTGCTCCAGCCTCGGCTCCACCTCCAGCCTCTTCTCCAGCTCCAGATTCTACTCAAGCTTCGGCTCCTGCACCAGTTCCAGCCTGTGCTGCAACTCCCGCCTCTGCTCCAGTCCAGCTCCAGTCTCTGCTGCAGCTTTCCGGCCTCCGCTCCAGTCGAGCTCTAGTCTTTGCTTCTGTTTCGTCTTCTGCTCCAGTCCAGCTCCAGACAAGCAACAAGAAGCTAGTCCCTTTCTCGCGTTTTTATTTATAAATCCAAGGGAGACAGAGAAAGGGGAGGCATATAGGGAACCAGAGGAACTGGCGAAGGACGAAAGTGTATAGTATACTCTCCGTCGCCGTTGCCCCATTCGCGTCCCCAATCTGTAGATAGTTCGAGTCGCCATGTTCCGAATTCTATTTCCCCTCCCCAATTCCGTTCAATCCAATATTCATCACCTCTTTTCCACGAGTGAGGTGGCGTAGCGCGAGGGTGGGACTCTCAGCCGCTCTCAGCATCCCCGAGGGACTGCTCTGCTTTGTGTGTTCTGGAGCAGTTTGTCGTACCTACAAAGTAAGAAACGTGAGTCGTTTGTGACATCAAAACGCATCTGAGAAAAAAATATTTTGATTTTTAAAACTTCCTTTTTGAATGATAAATTTAGGACTTCTTAGATAGAGATTGAGATTGCCAATGTTTTGCCTGGTTTTGCCTGGTTTTGCCTGTTTGTCAAAAGTTGGTCTTTCTTTTAGGGGGACTAAATTTTAACAGCAAATTGTCGAACCTGGAATTGACATTAAGAAAAGAAAGCCAAAATTTGGCAGACTCTTCAACGGTGCAATCTATGTGGCAAAGGGATTTTGCGATTTGTGTGAGACGGGAGAGGCTGGGCGGGAGCTGGAAGTTGGGCTGGAAGGGGCAGCGTGGAGGAGTGCGCGACCGGTCAGAAAGAGACAAGGAGATGAGAAAAGGAATGGGGGGCGGGGGCTAAGGGCCGCTGCCTCGCAGAGCTTTCATCCATCTTCCATTTTCGCGCCTCTCTCCGGAGGAGAAGACGTGAAATATGAAAACGATCCGGGCACTTTTGGGCCAGTGGCCATTGTCAATTGCCCCTCCGCAACAATTGGCCCGGCGGCGCCTTGCGGCGGGATGCTCAGGCCCGGCTAAAGGCCGCCTGGGCGCCTCTTGGGGGGGGGGG